TTGGGGAGAGATAGCATGGGGAGAAATGCCAGATATAGGTGATGGGGAGGAAGGCAGCAAATCACACTGCCATGTGTGTACCTATGCAACAATCTTGCATGTTCTTCATATGTACCCCAAAACCTAAAATGCAATTAAAAAAAGGAAAAAAAAGAGAAAAAATGCAGAAACTCAGTCCCAACCCCAGATATTCTGAATCAGAATCTGCATTTGACCAAGTTCTCCCATTTATTTTTGAATACAGTAAGATTTGAGAAGTATGCCTCTAAGTCATCATGACTTTTCCACCTGAAAATTACACACAACTGATTGTGGATGATGTAAATATAGCTCTCAAAAATGTATATTCCTATGTTGATCCCCTAGTTTTTTGGTTCTTTTGTTTGTTTTTGTTTTTTGAGATAGAGTTTTGCTCTTGTTGCCCAGGCTGGAGTGCAATGACGCGATCTTGGCTCACTGCAACCTCCACCTCTGGGTTTGATTCTTCTGCCTCAGCCTTCTGAATAGCTTGGATTATAGGTGCCCGCCACCATGCCTGGCTAATTTTTTGTATTTTTAGTAGAGGCAGGGTTTCATCATGTTGGCCAGGCTGGTCTCAAACTCCTGATGTCAGGTGATTCACCCACCTTGACATCACAAAGTGCTGGGATTACAGGCATGAGCCACTGCGCCCAGCCCTGATGCCTTAGTTTGATATTTTATATTCCATATAGGCATAGTATCTACACTGGTTTTGTGGATCTTACGTCATTCTCTTTCCACAGAGTTAGAGAATACGTTAGAAAATATTACTGTGTTTAAAAGTATCTTATTATTTCAGGCCACTCATATAAATCAGAGTCAGTTCTCTTAACTCTCTTATTTCATCTTGGGTCAATGTGTTAATTATTTTTATTTCAGGGACTGCTGACATTCAGGGATGTGGCCATAGAATTCTCTATGGAGGAGTGGGAACACCTGGACTCAAATCAGAAGAATTTGTATGGGGATGTGATGTTAGAGAACTACAGAAACCTGGTTTGTCTAGGTGAGGATAACTTGTCTTTGGAATATCTAATATCTAATAACTAAGGGTTTTATTTCTTTCCTTTGTAGAATGTCTCTTGGGAGCTTATGCTTTATATGAATGAACTCAGATTCCTGCTTCTAGGAAAAAAAAATTATGGGTTTGTTGTAGAAAAAAACTTCCTAATGTTTGATCTTGGCATTTGCCTTCTTTCTTGAGGTGATATACAAACTTCACTCTGGTTTAGTGGTGATTCTAGAAATTGAGTGGTATAAACTATCATTGCCCACAATTTAAAATCCAATTCCTTCTCCTTATTTTTGATTCAGTCATACTTGGAAGTGAATCTCAGGATTCCCATATTTAAAATGCTTCCTAAATATTCTAAAGAAGCTGACAGGAAACAGTATTTGGGGAAGTAATTTTCTGTATTTCTATAGGAAATTTTCTATATTTCTATAGTAAATTTCTATGGGAATCCTCTATAATGTCCCCTCTTTACTGAGTACCCTACTGATTTGGCAGTTAAAGAACTCCCAGCAAGAGTCATGTGACTTTTTCTCATAAAACAGGTCTTGCTGTCTCTAAGCCGGACCTGATCACCTTTTTGGAGCAAAGGAAAGAGCCCTGGAATGTGAAGAGTGCAGAGACAGTAGCCATCCAGCCAGGTAGGCGGGAGTGAATGAGTAGGTGACATGAGTGAGAGGTCCAGAGGTCAGGAAAGAGCCAGACATTGAAGTGTGGATTGGGAAGTTCTCCCGTGGAAATGATTTTTTAGATGCCTAAGTTTATTTCTCTTGGTGTCGTAGAGGGACATCTTCTGTCTCATGCTTTGAAATTATCTAATGATTCTCCTTCACCTTCTGTGATCCACCATCAAATTTCACAGTGACAGCCAAAGTCCTGTGAGGCCTGTGAGGGCCTGCATAATCTGGCTGCTCTTCTATTGATTTGGGAGCTCTGGGGAAGTCTGTGCATGTTTCTACCTCTATGTGAAACCACTTTTAAAGTTCTGTTTTTGCCTCATGTAGAAGCGTGTGAGGGCAGTGATGGAAAGTGGGATTTCTGTTAGAAGCTGCAGGAATTCTGTGGACAGATGTCACATATTTTCTGGTATTTGAATTTCTAATCCTACAGTGGTTTTCAAGATGATCCTACAAAAATTGAGACTCAGTAATTTCATCAGAGCACGAAGCATTTTCCTAAATATAAAAAAACTGATCTTGTATTTCACTTCAACTTTCCATCTTTCCTAGCCTAAACTAAGATTAG